TTTCAATGCACTTTGGACTTCCTCCCTGAGTACCATTGGCTCTTGTTCATATGGTATCTCTTGAAATGGTTGAACATTAACCATTTCCTTTTGGTGTAAATGGCGTCCTTAAATAAGCATCATTTTAGAGCTCTTTGACATTGGGGTTCCACTCATCCGTTCCCCCAGCAAGCGCTTCCATTGATACATACAAAGCTGGGACACCCTCCTGCTCTGCCTCACCCTGTGCATACATGGAAAAATGTCTCAGGGACACTTGGTCTCCAGAACCTTCCCCATTTGTAGGATGATGGGCATTTCCTGGTTGTGCCAGTGACTTAGCCTCTCCAGGATCTAGGGTGGGTGTCTGAAGGTGGGAGCACCACGCCTAGTCACACAGCTTGCTGGGGAGACCTGAGAAGACAGCACTCAGCTGGTCAGTGGTCTATGGCCCAGGGGTCATCCAGATCTTGGCTGGACTGGTGATAGGGGTTCTGCGTTGGGGTGCAGCCATCAGAGAGGGAGGGGCTCTGGAGGTTCTCACAGCAGCCTTTCACATGGTGCTGAAATCCCACAGAGGAGAGAGGCTGAGGATTTGGGGAGCATCACACATGTGCTGAGTGTGGACTATGGATGCCTGTCTCCCTTTCCTCCACAGGCCCCACCCAGCATAGCTGCAGAATGAAGTCTGAGATGACTCCCAAGACCAAGCTCAGTGGTTCAAGCCTTCAGCTTCCTGGCTGTGCCTGTTTCCACATTTGTACCACGGGGGCGAGGTTCATACTTCTGCCAAGAACACTGGAGACCCAGCTAAACCATCAAGAAATCAACCTCCATCCAGATCTGTGGTCGACGCCCACAATGTGGAGGACAGAACGGTGAAGACACATCTGCAACATGCCTGAGGGAGGGAAGCTGTGGATCAGAGACCTCATTGGCTGGGACTGCGGGTAACACAGCCCAGGGGCGGAACAGGGGGAACAGAAGGGCTCTGATTACCGAGTCAGGTCACAGCTCAGTCTTGGTCCTGTCTGTCTGCCTCCTTGTTCTGACCCCACACCTGGCTCCTGGCTCTTCTCTGTCTGGCTCCCCATCCTGGTCCCATTCCAGCCCCATCTCTGAGTAACCCCCTCCAGATCTGCTCTCAGGCCCCCTCTTCACTACCCACAGCCCACAGCCATCCCGACCATGGACTTCGAGAGGGAGGGTAGCTGGAACTTATCCTTCTCTGGAGCAGGCTTCCTGGGACTCTACTACGTGGGCGTGACCCACTGTCTGCTGGAGCGAGCCCCACGCCTCCTCCTGGGTGCCCAGCGCTTCTATGGCTCCTCTTCGGGAGCGCTTTATGCAGTCAGCCTGGTCTGTGGAATGCCTATTGGTGAGTTGGTAGACCAAGAGGAACCTAGGATCAGTTCCTAAACCCTAATGGAGGGGTTCGGGTTCAGTGGGGGCTGGTGTAAGACAGGAGGTGTGTTTAGGGATTCCGCCTAAACCTTGGCCCCAGAATCTTCTCATTGAATTCTGAAGAGAAACTCGGATCTGGACTAACGTGAATCCTTACACCACAGGAGTCCCAGGGAAGGCTGTTTTTACAAGGTCTCCTGGGAGAAAGGTGGTTAGGTACTAACATTCTAAGCTGGAGAGTCACCCAGGCCTTTGGCTCCATGGCACACAGGAGAGTAGACTGAGCTGTCAGGAAGGTGTGGGCCATCTTCTGGGTGCTTAAGGAGCCCTCTGTCTCTCCTACAGACTATTGCTGCTCACAAGTCCTGGGAATGACCACTCTGGTCAAAAGACTAAGCCTGGGCATCTTCCACCCATCCTTCACGCCCATGGAGCGTATAAAAACCTCGCTGCAGGAGGTTCTGCCTGAAAACGCCCACATCCTGGCCTCCCAGCGACTGGGAATCTCACTGACCCGCTGGCCAGACCGAAAGAATGTCATAGTTACCAACTTCACCACCAGAGATGAGCTTATCCAGGTAGGGTAGTTGCTGGGGCTGGAGCTTTCCGGGCCAGAGACACCCATGGGTGAGGGAGTAGACTGAGGAGCCTCTTTCTGTCTCCAACTGAGGAAGCTGAGGCACAGACTAGGGTAACAACATGTCCAAGACACTCAATGAGTACAAGGACCTCTGCTTGCTGCAGGGAGGTCCCTTGGGTTCAAAGCCAGGCTGTGTTTTACAAGACCTCTTGCAGGGACAGCAGCTTCCAGTGGGATGCCCAACCCCATCCTGAGCCAATCCTTTACTGAATGTCCATTATGGCATTGCGAACAGAACAGGGACCAGAACAGGGACCTCCTGCCTTCTTGGGGCTCAGTTACACTGGAGGAGGAATGCCAACAATGGCAGCTCTATGGGGGAGGAGTCACCATGCTACAAGTCATTTCTGAAAGGGAGAGATCGATTGTATTCCTTTTGATGCTTGTCTTCCCAGGCCATGGTCTGTGCCCTGTTCTTTCCAGTCTACTGTGGAGTGATTCCCCCTGAATTCAGAGGTGAGGTAAGTGTACTTGGGGGGTTTCCTTACTAAACTCATCAAGGTGTCCTGGGCTCAGAGGGTACCTATTGTGAGCCAGACCCTCCCCCCATTCCTATGGGGGCTCAGCATCCTGGATCAGATGGACCCAGGGACTTTGGAGTAGCCATCCACAGCCCACTCTCTGCTGGTGCCTTGGGGTGGTGCTGGGAGAGACAAGGTGACCCCAGAGAGCAGCACAGCCCACCTGAGCCCATTCCCCACATTGCAGCGCTACATTGATGGTGCTCTGAGCAACAACCTACTCTTCAAGAATGACAAGTCCACCATCACCGTGTCCCCATTCCCCGGGAAACTGGACATCTGTCCCCAGATCCACTTGGTCCACATGCACGATATGAACATCTTAAAATCCATCTTCAAAAGGTGGAACAGGAAATTCACCATTGCATACCTGGCCCTCATGCCCCCGAGTGTGGAGGTAGGTCTGGTCTCAGCCCCAGCCTGGTAGGTGTGTAGAGGTTCAGACATGTGTGAGATCGTGTGCGCTTTGATCTGGGTTCCAGCTGGCCCACATAGCCCATGTTCATGGCCAGGTCAAGTCAAGTCTGGGCTCAAGCTATGTCCTTCCTATTCCTTTTGCTCTGGGCAAGTGTTGAGCTAGGAGTGGCATCCACATTAAGGGAGGGGTCTCACACCAAGTTTGTTAAACTAGTTTTCAGCCAGGCCTTCACCTTGATTGTGTCCCTTGAGTCATGCTCCAGAGAAGGGACTTTTGTCATCTCTGGTTCTATTGGGAGGACACTAAGATCCCCGTGTCCTACTAAGGGGTCAGTTGGGTAATGTAGGCTGGGCTGGGTTGGCTCCTAGTTGAAGTTAGATGGAGAGACAGACACACACCTCCCCATCTCTCCCCCCACCTGTGTGTTCTTAGACAGTGGCCGACATGTGCAGACAAGGCTACCTGGACACCCTGAGATACCTGGAGAAGCAGGGTAGGTAGCATGCCCCACGGTAGCTGATGGAGCCCTCGTGGGAACCACACGCATGCGAGAACCAGGCAACGCTACCTCGGGGACCGTTTGAGCTGCTGGGAGCTGAGCTCCTCATGGCTTGCCCATCATCTGCTCTGTGCTCTGTTTTAGCTGAAAGCTGGTACCTAGAGAGGGGTGAACACCCAGGGGGAGAGACCCTGAGAGAGACCACCCAGGGAGAGAGAGCAATGAAGGAGGGATGCCCAGGGCTGTGGGGGCCCAAGGAGACAGCTGAGCAGCTGGGGGACAGGAAGGTGGAGGTGGTGACCAATGAGCTGCAAGGCAGGCTGTGAAAGCTGCACTGAAGGGGCGGGGTTGGCAGAGGACCTTCCCCCCAAAAAAAGGAAGAGAGGAAACACAAGGTTTGGCAGTGGGCGCCTTGAGGAACATCGATTCAGTGTCAGGAGGGGTGTGTGTGTGCCTGGATGTATGTGTGTGAGAGTGTGTATGTGTGTGACTGTGTGTGTAACTGTGTGCACATGTGTGTATGTGGGCATATGCACCATGTATCATTGTACTTACGTGTGTGTGTACATGCATATGTGTGTGTTTTATGTGCATCTGTGTGTATGTATATGTACGTGTCATATTTGCAGGTGTGCTGTGTCTATGTTTGAATGCATATGTATTGGTGTATCTTTTTGTTTATGTGTGTTATGTGTGCACATGCATATGTGTATTTTGGGGTGAGAATCTGTACATGTGTGTTTTCTGTTTGTGTATTATGTGTCAGTGTGGTGATTTGTGTACACGTGTGCATGTGTTAGTGTGTGTATGTATGAGTGCTTAGGTGTGTCTATGTGTGTATTTGGCATGAGCATAGACAGATGTGTAATAAGTGTGCACATGGTGTGTGTGTGTGTGCTGTGTCTATTTAATGTCTATGTGCTGTGTGTGGTGTGGGTGTATATGGAATGTTTGTGATGTGTGCATGTTGTGTATGTGGAGTGTTTGTATGTGATTTGTGTGTGTAGTGCATGTGTGGCATGTGTGTAGGATCTGTGGGTATTTGATGTCTGCTTATGGTGTGTTTCTGTGTATGTGGTTTGGTATGTGTGTGGTATGTGTATGAGGTTTGTGGTGTATATGTGGTTTGTGTGTGTATGGGATGTGTGATTTGTGTGAAGGTGGTGTGGGGGGCATGTGAGTGTGCTGTGTGGATGTGCTGAGCAGTGTTTATGTGTGTAGCATGTGTATATATGTGCTGTGTGTTGTATGTATGTGTGTGCTGTGTGTATGCATTTGCTATGTGTCATGTGTATGTGTGTACTATGTGGCACATGTATGTGTGTGCTATGTGGTACATGTTTGTCTGTGCTATGTGGCATGTGTATATGTGTGCTATGAGGCATGTGTATGTGCTATGTGGTGCATGTATATATGTGCTATGTGGCGTGTGTATGTATGTGCTATGTGGTGTGTGTATGTCTGTGCTGTGTGTATATGTGATCTGTGTGGTGTGTGTATGTGCTATGTGGTGCATTTATGTATGTGCTATGTAGTGTGTGCATATATGTGCTATGTGGCAGGTGTATGTATGTGCTCTGTGGTGTGTGTGTATTCTGCGTATGTGTGGGGTATACATGGTGTGTGTTGTTTGTATGCATGTGTGAGAGACAGTTCACAGGATGACAGGGTCACCAGGGAGTCCTGGCAGGAGATCTTGGTTGTCACCCAATAGGGCAATGCTCTTCAGAGTGGCAGAGCTGTGATTTGAACCCAGCACCTGTCCCCATGTCCCCAACCCCTAGGTGTCATCCTCCAGCAGCCACAGCACCCAGCCCTGGCTAGAGCTTTACACAGAAACCTCACATCACCCCCAAAACAACTGCACAAAGCAGCTCTCACATTTCCCTCTTAACAGAAAGGGAAACTGAGACTTGCTGGGAGTAGAGTCAGAGTTTGAACCTTGGCCTGTGTCCTCAGGCCCTTGTCTTTGATCATCTATGTGAAATTCACCAGGAAACAGGCAGGGGAAGCAGAGGAGGGCTCCTTTAGGATGAGCCGTGAATCCATTCTGAGACAATAAAGTCACCAGAGCATGGGGTGGATGGCATAGGTCATGAGGTTGGCGTGGGACCTGTCACCTCACTTACCTCCTCTCCTCTCCCTGACCCAGGACTCACCAAGGAGCCTATACTGTGTAGTTTGACATCTAAGTCACCTCCATCCCCTGCTGAAGGAACCCAGGACTCTGGCTGCAACCAGGAAGGGAAGGCGGGCCTGACTCTCAACTGGGCGGTGCCCAACGTGTTGGTTAAGGATGTGCCCAACTTTGAGCAGATCTCACCAGAACTGGAGGCTGGTACTGCCCCTACCTACCTGCCTTGCTCACCTACCTACCAACCACCCTTACTCATGGGTGGGGGAATGGAACCCTGCCCCCAAGAAGTTTGAGGTCTGGATGAGTACAAAGCCCTATAATAACCCTGTTGTTGTTTAGTGCCATCAAGTTGGTTCCGATGCATAGTGACTCTGTATAGGCTTTCCAAGGAGCTACTGGTAGGTTTGAACTGCTTACCTTGAGTTTCAAAATACAGTTTGATCCTACAGCGCCATACGAGGACTTCTGTAGCAATCCTATAAATCCAAGTCAAACTGCTCCTTAGGTTTTCTGTGGGTATCAGTCTTGACAGGAACAGCCAGCCTCGTCTTCCTCCAGAGTAGCTTGTGGGTTTGAACCATGAGTATTGTGGTTATCAATCCAGTGCTTATACCACAGCCCCACCAGGGCTCCTGGACAGGTTTCTGGAAGCTACCTGAGAAGAGAGGTGGGCATTCCCGGAGGTGTGATGGGGGAGAGAATGACTGACCCCTTTTTCAGAAATGACCTTTGCTCTGAGCTCTGGTCTAGTTCATGGAGCTAAGGTGGGAGGAGATGGTGAGGGGCAGAGAGTAGATTGAGCTAGAATCAGATTTAGGTTTAAGTGTAGGGTTTCTGTTAGGTTTGGAATTAGAGTTTAGGGTGTAGTGTTAGGGGTTAGGGTTTGATATAAGTTTAGGTTGGGTTTGGTTTAGAGTTGGCATTCAGGTGAAGTTAAGTGTTAGTTTTAGATTTGAGGGCTAGTGTTCGGGTTAGGTTTAGGGTTAGTTAGGTCTAGGGGTAGGGGAATAGCCAGGATTATTATTAAAATGAAACTAGAGGCTAGAGTTAGTGTTAAGGTTGATATTAAACTTAGTTAGGGACTAGGGTCATTTTGAGGGTTGGGATTAGGGTTAGGTTTATGGTCAGCCTCACCGCTCTCTGGCAAAGGTTTGTGCTTGACCCTCATCCTTATAGACTCATAGCATCCTTGCATCCATCAGGAGGGTAGGGTTAGGGTTAGGTGTATGATCAGTCTCACCTCTCTCTGGCAAGTGTTAGGGTTAGGGTTAGGTCTAGGGTCAGCCTCACCTCTCTATGGGTAAGGTTTGCACTTGGCCCTCGTCCTTATAGACTCATAGTATCTTTACATCCATCAGAAGGCAGGTACTACTGGTACCCCCACTGTACAGAGCAGGAATCTGGGTCAAGGAAAGGTGAGATGACTGGAACTGGGGTACACCGCAAGGGGGCTGTGTTCTCTGTGACCCTTGAGAATGTTGTCTGCAGGTGGCACCAGTCAGGGATGAGGCAGGGGTGTCAGTTGTGGTTGGAGGCTGGAATATGGACTCAGGTCCCGCCCCACTCCTGTACTCCATGGGCTCTCAGGGCGGGTCCTTCCTCTTCGACTCAGAAAATGGTCACTGTGGCTAGAGCTGTGCTACTGTTAACAATAACTGTGTTGTTGTTGTTGAAGTAGGCAAGATGGGAGGCCTGTCCCATCCTGGGGGCCCAGCCCACTTCCCAGGGCCAGGGGAGCTGGCAAGAGCTCTGCATCCTGCCAGCTGTGAGCCCGTGCTGGCCCTGCCACTTCCTGGGGGTGACCCTTGGGCAAGTCACTTCACTCTGAACCTCGGTCTCCTAAACTGTGGAAGGGGCACATTGTGTGTCTCATGGGCAATGGTGAGAGGGCCATGATCATGGACAAGTACCCTGCTGTCTCATAGTAGGACCGGCCTTTGTCAGTTTTGTTTCCTCCTCTGCAGACTTGGAGATGGGGGTTGAGGTTGGGAGGAGCACAGTTAACTGGTCCACATAGTGACGCTGAGCAGAGTGGACTTCCAAGTGGACTGGGCCATGTCATGACTTCTCTTGCAGTCCTGAGGAACGCGTGCATGAAGAAGCCCAGCCTCTGGACTCGCTTCTGGGGGTCAGGCACTGGGCAGGTGTTGACGTATCTGCTGTTGCCTTACACTTTGCCTGTCGAATTCGTCTACTTCAAATCCAAGAGGTGAGTCCTCACAGGGGGATACCAGGACTCAAGGGCAGTTGGCACACAGGTGGGCAAGCCAGAAGTGTGGAGCCTGCCTGTACTCTTGCCAGGCCTTGTGTTGGCACTGGTTCAGAGGCTTGCTGGTCTTCTCTGCAGAAAAGGCTGAATGGGAGCAGGGCAGCTGAGGTTCCTGGTGAGCAACCTGGCTGGTCCTCGCAGTCTGTGTGACAAATAGTCTATTGTTCCAGCCCTAGAGCATCAGAGACCGTGCCTTTACTCTGAGGAGATGTTCTGGAGCTGATGCCACTCAGGCTGCTGTGTGGCCTGGGCAAGGATTCTCGACCACTCTGAGCTTCAGCTTCCTCTTACATTACAAGAAGCCTTTGTGGCTTAGACTGGCATGGATAAGCCCACACCACCACTTCCTCTGAGCTGCAGCCTTTCTGGCTCTGCCCATGCCCCTGGGGAAGGGTCTCGCTGGGACTGTGGGGAGGAGCTGACTTGCCCTGTCCTCCAGGGTGGTGGAGTGGCTTCCGGATGCACCAGCAGATCTGCACTGGATGCAGGGACAGCTGAGGAGCTTGGCCCAGGGGCTGTACTCCAGGACAAAGACACAGCTCCTCGGGCCTGTCAGGTGAGTGGACAGGTGGGATAGTGGTAGACCTATACACCTAGAGCCAGGTAGCACACATTGCCTGTCCACTCCAACCATGTCCCTCTGTCCATCCATCTGTGCAGCCCAGCACATGTGTTTTCTATTTTGTACACTGGCCCAAACTTCATCCTTCCTCAGAGCTGGGCTAGGTGAGCTGCCAGCCAGGTTCTCTGTGTACCCTGGCCACTGTCTGCCTCACTTCTCTCAGCCACACATACTGAGAACATGCACCAATCAGTAACCTCTTCTCCACAGACTCCTTATGCAGCATGTCCCCGGAAGCAGACCCCTCCAGGCTGGGGTAACTCTTCCAACAAACTTGACCCCAGAGCCAGACCCACCCAGCAGGTCTGAAGGTAGCATGCTGAGCCAACCTTCCCTCTGACTTTCTTCCAGACCCTCATCCTATGTTCATATCCACTGGTAGCTCCCATCAAGCAGTTTTGTTCCTGAAAGGTCTGGAAAAGAGAAGGTGGGAGAAGATACTAACAGGATGATATGATTCAGTTATGTGATTGTTAACAAAGCTAATTGTGATTCTAAAATCTTGGAAATGTAATGAGGGGAGTGGTCAATTTTGTCATCTTCCAAGTTTTAAATGAGTCATCTGCAAAGCAAGAAGGGGAATGTTTCTACCATCAAGGAATAAGATCCAAGAGTGGATCCCTGTAAATTGAACCTCCTCCACCCCCAGGAGACACAGCTGTGACATCAGAGGAGAGGGAGGGCATGGCAGAGGAGTTACAGAAGAGCCAAGAGTCAGAGAATGAAACATGGAGTGCTGTGTTTCCTGGCTCATGTAGCAAATAAAGCGGAGTTCCTTTAGGCTGTAGGTTTGCTTGTAGAAAGGACTTCCACACTGTCCCAGGCACTTAACGGGGGGAGTTAACTGTGCTGACCCATGACACTAGAGTCAAGTACCTTCAGGGTGAAATTTATGGTAGAGTGATGTGCCCTTTGTGCATTTATCAGCAGATCTAAAGGAGCTTTGTAACACTGCCTGAGCAGACAGAGGCCAGGTCAAGGGGCTGAAGGAAAGAGAGAGGCCTGCCTATGGGCAAGACAGAGAAGAGGCTGTCCTGACCAAAGACCTGTATCCTGAGCTTTTCTAATCCCGAATCACAGTCTGTTACCTTCCCTAATAAACTGCATGACTCTGAGTCTTGTCTGAGTTCTGTGAAGCCATTGCACTGAATTACTGAACCGAGTTAACAAGTAGAGAGTGCTGTGGACAGATGCTGGGAGTCAGAATTGGTAGAGAAGGTCGGAAGGAGGAACGGTGTCTGCCCTCAGTCTCATAGGAATCAACCTTGAGCTGATGCTGATGCTGATTCTTCTCCTTTGATTTGTGAAGCCAGAGGAAGTAAGATGCTGCCTGTTTCCAAACAAGCATTGGTAACCCCCTTCTTACAGAACGGGTGCTAGGGGCCCTGGACTTCCAAAGCAGAACCAAAAGATCAGTTTTGGCAGAAGTGCAGCAAGAATGCTCCTTAGAAGCCAAATGGCCAAACTTTGTCTCTCATACTTTGGACATATTATCAGGAGAGAGCAGTCGCTAGAGAAGGATGTCATGTTTGGTAAGGTGGAGGGTCAGAGAATAAAAGGAAACCCCCCAAGTAGATGGATTGGCCAGGTGGCAACATCAATGGACTCAAGTATGGAAACAGTAGTGAGGTTGGCCCAGATTCGGACATTGCTTCGTTCTGCTGTGCATAAGGTCGCTATGAGTCAGTGCCAATTTGATGGCACCTAACAACAACAACTCCTGGGAGTCATCACCCCTCCCAGCCTTAGAGCAGAGTCCCTATGCACAGCCACTGAGGAGAGTCCAGCAAAGGAATAAATCTGTGAACAAAACACACACTGAGTCATCCATCCATCTATCCATCCATCCATCCATTTCTCCAAGGACACCTAGGATTTGAGTTGGGAGAAAAGTCATTCCATGAGGGAGGACTATAGGATGGGTATCGAACACGGTAAATTAAACAAAGAAATCAGGCTCAGAGAAGTGAAGTACCTTATCTTAAGTCTCACAACAGTAATGTTATCATTAAACTCAGGTCAGACAAGTCCAACCCTGTCTGCACATTAGGGTGCTTAGTGGAAATGTTGAGACTCATATCTCTCTTGTGAGATTCAGAGGTAATTCATCACAGTAAAAGCCCATCTGGGCACACGTACAGTTGGACTCCATAGCTCTTGCACAAGGATGTCTTTCAGTACCACCATGACAGTGTAATTTACCAAGTCTTACATCCTTCTCCTGGGATGGGTACCTTCTGATAACATGTCCAAAGTGCATGCAATGAAATCTCACCATCTTTGATTTTAAGGAACATTTTGCTTATACTTCCTCCAAGATAGAATGGGTTCATTTTTCTGGAATTCCATATTCACAGTAGAGAGTAAGTATTTAACATGTTTGTTGAGGTGACTGATTGCACATGGGATTATACAAAGATCTATTTAA